CCTTTGGCGGGAATATCCCTTTGCCCGACACATGCCATTATTCCCCTTTTATCCACCAACAAGATGGCATCTTGTTAGCGCCCCTCTGACTTGACTTGGGATGAAATTCCACGACATATTCTCGACAGAGCATCGATAGTTTGCTCGTCTAAAAGAAAATGTAAACTTTTAAAATATCAGCCTTTTCTGACTAAATCTGAAAACCACCTTGAATATTTATTGCCTAGAGTTCAATTATTTAAAAGCACCGGGAAAGGACGCGAGAAAACACGAAAACAAAACATAAATGGCCTCGTAATATATTTTCAGTCAAAAAGCCTCGCGTTAACACGAGAGGGAGAGAGAGAGACCGAACTCTCTCCTTAGCCGCAATCTGTTGCCCCCCTCTCGATCCGCCCCGCTCTTGCGTGTGCGTGTCGCGCTACCGACGCCACGTGTTTCTTAGAATCCCGCGCATTTCTCGAAATTCACAAGAAATCCCCTTTGTTACCTGACGTTGTAGCGTCCAACCTAGGCATCACTCGAAAGGACAAAGTGTTGACCTACCGCTGATCTCGGTTCCGGCGTCCAGAGTTGCTCCCCTATCCTCGACCGGCGTCGACAACGTCTGGTCGACAACGGACTCGGCCTGGTCACCAGGGGTTACGCTCTCGGCCGCTTCCTCGATCGGACTCTCTTGTCCATCCCTTGCTGTCTCAGCCCTTTCCGCCATCCTCTCTTTTGTCTCACTCACCCACAAAAAAAAAGAAGAGATCACGCGCGGTGATGCGAGTCTGGGGCCTGTAACCTGAAGAGGTGTGAGTAAAGGGGGTTCGCGAAATAATAAAACGAGTATTACAAGTTAGACAAAAAGTTTATTTAATAAAACTGCCGACCGACGTAGAACACAACAGATACAATTTACAGACTTTACAGACTTACAACCGACTTATCANGACCGAACGCAAGCCGAATCTAGTCAACGTGGCCCGAAGCGTGTTCTTGTGCTCGAACACAAAGCACGATTGCACGCTGGGCACTCACACAGCCGCGCGCGACCGAACACAAGTCTAACGTGACTGTGCGAGTCACACGGAAAATAATTTCGTTAACACACCTTTGGCGGGAATATCCCTTTGCCCGACACATGCCATTATTTCCCTTTTATCCACCAACAAGATAGCAGCTTGTTGTCGTCCCTTTGACTTGACTTGGGATGAAATTCCACGACATATTCTCGACAGAGCATCGATAGTTTGCTCGTCTAAAAGAAAATGTAAACTTTTAAAATATCAGCCTTTTCTGACTAAATCTGAAAACCACCTTGAATATTTATTGCCTAGAGTTCAATTATTTAAAAGCACCGGGAAAGGACGCGAGAAAACACGAAAACAAAACATAAATGGCCTCGTAATATATTTTCAGTCAAAAAGCCTCGCGTTAACACGAGAGGGAGAGAGAGAGACCGAACTCTCTCCTTAGCCGCAATCTGTTGCCCCCCTCTCGATCCGCCCCGCTCTTGCGTGTGCGTGTCGCGCTACCGACGCCACGTGTTTCTTAGAATCCCGCGCATTTCTCGAAATTCACAAGAAATCCCCTTTGTTACCTGACGTTGTAGCGTCCAACCTAGGCATCACTCGAAAGGACAAAGTGTTGACCTACCGCTGATCTCGGTTCCGGCGTCCAGAGTTGCTCCCCTATCCTCGACCGGCGTCGACAACGTCTGGTCGACAACGGACTCGGCCTGGTCACCAGGGGTTACGCTCTCGGCCGCTTCCTCGATCGGACTCTCTTGTCCATCCCTTGCTGTCTCAGCCCTTTCCGCCATCCTCTCTTTTGTCTCACTCACCCACAAAAAAAAAGAAGAGATCACGCGCGGTGATGCGAGTCTGGGGCCTGTAACCTGAAGAGGTGTGAGTAAAGGGGGTTCGCGAAATAATAAAACGAGTATTACAAGTTAGACAAAAAGTTTATTTAATAAAACTGCCGACCGACGTAGAACACAACAGATACAATTTACAGACTTTACAGACTTACAACCGACTTATCAGACAAAGACAATAAAGCTAGAACCGACGAGAAGTGTAGAAGGCACGGTGGCTTACACTGTACTGACTACAGGGCCCGCAAGTATCACCTTGCCTGTGGCGCTGTCTTTCACACTATATATACTGCCTATTGAAAAGTCGTACATGCCAACAAAAAGGTTAGGTACGAAGGAGCTCCCTTAAGGTATTATATACTTCATTCGGCTTAGCTCTGAAAGCATACACAAATAAAGAGAAAATTCTATTTTTGTCTTAATTATAAGATACGATTGAGCAAAATTGTACTCTTTTTTATTGAACATACGTAATACTTTACAGAAATATTAATTTCATCGTTCTGATATTAGTAAACAATAATTTATTTGATTTCAATGACTTTGATCGTATCTCTGTAATACGATGTGGCTTTGTTTTCAACATTAAGTCATTTCTGCAGGTGTGGGGGCAGCACATGTGGTTACACATAGCGGATAGTCCATGCGACTCTTTTTATTGGAAATATGCCTGTACCATCACGTAACATGGCGATATATATATATGTATCACACTGAAAGGAAAAGTAGTAAGTACAGGTCTTATGGGAGACATTGAGTTTTTATTTTTTTTCGTGGTAGAAACAGTGTTCAACACATAAAGTTATTCGAATTCATATTTTTAACATTATGAGAGCTAGGTTGTTATGTTTTTTACGATGAAATCGTTTATTAAGGCCTAAAACATCTTTTTAAAGGTACGAAGTACAGTTTAACCTAACATCAAGCTGCTTGTTTACCTCTGAGCAGGTGCAACAGCAACAGCAGCAGCAGCAGCAGAAACGAGTAGCTTAATGTAGGGTTAACTGTACTTCGTACCTTCAAAACGCTGTTTACGGTCTTAATAAACGATTTCATCGTAAAAAACATAACAACCTAGCTCTCATAATGTTAAAAATATGTAATCCAATAACTTTTTGTATTCAAAACCTTTCCCACCACGAAATAGTATATATATTACGTATGAGTTTGCAAAGACTTCGATTTACGAACCGAAGCTTAGTAACGAGGTTCGTAAAGAAGCCTTTTCGAATGAGTTTCGTATACAATTTTTCCGCCTGAGAACCCAAAATCAAGCGGCGAAGGTGCTATTTTGAGGTTAGAGGGCGGAAAAATAATAAAAACTTAACTTCTGACTTAAGAAGACTCGCACGTTTTTGACACATCAAAGAACAAATCAAGCCCACACTTGGAAAAATTGATTGAGAATTCAAGGCAAAAAGTAAAAAATCAGATGTTGGATTGATAAGATGTAATCTGATTTTTAACTTTTTGCCTTGAATTCTCAATCAATTTTGCCAAGTGTGGGTTTGATTTGTTCTTTGATGTGTCAAGAATGTGCGTCTACTCTTATTATTTCGATAAAGCTAGCTGCTCAATCAATAATGTTATAAAGCAGTATATGCGATTCTAGTAACCTTACCGATAAGGTAGGAAATTTTAACTATCTCCGGACTGCCCTTAAGGCAACCCACCAGTCCCACCAGAGTAAAGACGACGATATTCTATATATGTATTATAATACCTTCAGGAAGGCCATATCAGCCATATGTGGTATCACACATATAGTTTCACGTCATTACATAAGGGGTATTATCATAAGATGAAAACAAGTATTTATTGGAAATAAGTTCACACTGTGAAAACGATCTAAAATTACGATATTTCACTAGATTATTTTTTTAAAAGTAGACAAAAAGTTGTATTTATTTCAAGATTATGGCAGATAAAAGTATTTGTAAAAATTATAAATATAGTAACAATCATTTAAGATTGCGTAAAGTACGTCTAATGAAAATAGTTATATATAAAATACAAAAATATACATCATTGTTGCTTGGAATGCTGATAGGTGTAAAAACTAAACTAATTATAATACTATTCATTTGCAACTANCTCTATATCCGGCCCCTTTTAATAAGGGCACTACTATGGGCACTTAGCACTTGGAAAAGGGACAAGGAAAGGGATGGGAGGCCTCTCATTACAGGAGGTGGGTAGGGGGAAATTAGGTAATTATGCTGCGAGGAAGTCACCTAAGTTAAAGTACCCTTAATTCGGACACAGAATTTCAGGTAATCCACTATTTCTAAATTCACAAAGAAATTAGCTGTTTTGCGAAAAAGGCGGTTGACATATAGATAATACAGTAATTTTTCTGTCACTTAAAAAAAAAAGTTCTTAACCTTGAAACTTAAAGCTTTATAAAGATTGCATAGGTAGTTGAATTTCAAAAACAGAAAAGTAAAAAGAATTTAAGCAAAATTCTGTAATGTATAGGTGATAGTTAAGGTATGCTAGTTGATTAATTAATTGCCAAAATATTGTTATCAATTATAAAAGTAATTGAAGTAATAATAAGCTCGCAAGCGCGTTTAACTTAACTATGCTTGGATAAATTAAATATAACTTAAACAAGACTTGATCATGTTAAACAAAAAGTCCTGTTAAACATCATTTATGTCATTGGTAAAATAAGTTACGATTATTTTTTACTAGCCATCAGTGTATGACTGACAATTTATTTTGTACAATACACATTGTATGTATAACATAATACTTTACAAAGTTTTTCTGGATGTTGTAACTGCTTCATTGTACACCCTTTTTTTGAAAACTTGGTGTACGTCTTGTGCATTAACTGCACTTTCTAGGCACTTTCAAAGATAAAAATGTTATAAAAAATTTGTCACATTTCAAATATTTCATCAACAAAAATCATCATCATTATTCTTGATGTTATCAAGTATGTTGAGAATCAGCTATTTCTAAAAACGCCAATTGTATTTTTAAATTACTTGTTACATATCAACAATTATATGTATAATTCAGTATTTTGTCTACACCTAATAGTAATATCTAAACTTTTGACTTGACAAGGAGTTTCACATGGAATTTTTGTTACACTCAAATGCTACAGTTTTTTAAAATTGAGATTCTGCAGGAAGCTTTCGATTGAAATTTTTTTTTTTTTTCAGTAAGTACTAATAATTAATTCTTTCCATTACAAGATAGAACACAAACAGAGGCCTACAAAAATTGTACCAAAAAATAATAACAAATCCAATCTAAGATCTGCATCACGAATACTAATACCAGGTAAAGAATACCCACTTTTAAATTCGAATGAACATGTAGGTATAATTACATGGAGTATATCAGGTATCATAAAACCCAAGTCTCGAACAATCTGAAATCGTTTAAAAAAAATAATTAATGACAATACATCACAATGTAATGTAATTAAAACAGTACACTTGGATTTTAGCATACCTGATGAGCATACCCTTCTCCTTTAATGACGTTTGTAACAAATTGATCCCAACTGCCAGCAAGAATATGTAAAAGAGCAATACTGATTATTCCAAAAGCTTTTCTGCGAGTTATGGGGTTCCTTTTATCAGCCAAATGAATAACGAGTATCGTTGAAAATAATTCAGTTAAGGAAAAGAAAAACTGATGATACCATTGAGAATAAAACTCATCATTCCAATAGTTAATGTAAACCCACCAAGAGTAATAATGAGAAAATACAGCACTAATAAAAAGAATAAACATTCTCCATCGTAGATTATTTTGAAATGCTAAGGTAGTTAAGTGTTTGACTGTCTCATAAAAAATAATTATTCCAAAAACAATAGTCATCCAGATCTTCAAACTGCTACTAGTAGCATTAAAGTACAAATGTTTGTAGGAAGCCACCCCTGATTCATAGGATCCTAAATTTTTTTAATGTATTCAGTAAGAATCATGGCATAAAGAAGTAAGTTTGTTTACACTAAACAGTACCTTTGAAGACAGTGTCCCAGCAGGAACAGGAGCAAAAGTGCTTATCAACCTCTCTAGCAAAGTCACTCCAAAAATAGTATATGAAAGAAATGTGAAGTGGTGGAATGATAAGTGGTGCAAACAATCCAAGAACGTTGGAGCCATGAGTGGCTATTGCAGTACAAAGCTGTTTTTTCAGCATTATCCCGATAGATGGATTCATACCTTTGGAAGAGATTCATCTGTGATTCAGAGTACAGAACGCCAATTTCAATACCATAATGTCACTTGTTTCTGCAAGCCCTGGTTGATACACCAGCTTCCAGTACTGAGGTATGTTTTAGCACTATTTCGCTTGTATATTTATAGCTAGATGATAGAACATAGCCAACAGAAAGCAGGTGACTCTATTAATATACTAAAGATATTTTGAGATTCGACCATTTTGCGATTCATAATCCTGCTTATTTCACAGCATCTGCGGCACACTAAGCTAACTACACACGCTGCCATAGTACACCCATAATATTATTAAGTATAGATCAATATTAAAGTACGTTTTAACGTAAGAAATTGACTTGACGGCTCATAAAGCCAAGTACCGGTAAACATGAAGTACCAAGTACTTACCGAAGTACCAACTGCACCTGTACTCCGTTATGAGGATGAATTATGAGCAAGCTCAACCACCAGAGGGCAGCAGGACAAGACACTACTTAGAGATTTATATATATTATTTAAACACGATCTATCATGCCGCCTCACCAATAAACTTTCATCGTTACTTGTATGTGAGAGAGCGGGAGATTTTAAATTTAAAGGATGAATGAGCAAATTTCCGAAGAGAACTATTAGGGTGCCTGTACATGGGAGTCTTACAGTCTTAAGCCTGTAAGCCACACCTATAGCGGTTGATTTAATTCAAACTGATGTTAATTGAATACCGATATAAAATGATTTAAACAAGGAAATAGACACTTTATTCATGATAAAACTATGTAACGTGATTACATTATAAGGTTAGAACGTCTTTAAGGCATCCAATGAAAAATTTCTACAATTCATGTTAATACAATAATTTTGTCAACATAACCTCTCTATTTAACGACTCAGCGTTAGCAAAATTTTTTTTAGTTTTGGTGGCTAAATATCTTTCCAATATTATAATGCAATCACGTAACATAGTTTTGTTACGAACAGGACGCCTATTATCATCTTGTTTAAAACAATTTATATCAATATTCAGTTAACGTCAGTTCGAATTGAATCACCCGCCATAGGTTTGGCTTACAGTCTTAAGACATTCAGACACCCATAGGCTTCCTTATGGTACTTTAAATATAAGTCAATTTAAAAAATTGCTATAGCAACTATGTAAATAATTTTTATGAATTTTTTTATGAAACAATATAAATAAGCCGTATTCAAATAATATATCTATATGTCTCTGAGTAGTATCTTGTCCTGCTGCCCTCTGGCGGTTGAGCTTGCTCATGATTCATGATTCACCCTCATACCATAGGTGCGTTCCGTAAGCTCCAGCAGTTAATCTTTAAGTATCTTGGTATCCTAGATGACATTTAAATGCAAGGGGAAAATTATGACATGTTATCTCTCTTACACTAATAAGTTATCTACATATTATCTAAATACTTAGATTAAACGGCCAGTGCTTACGGAACCTCATCAACAATCAACGTGGAATCTGTGTGGCATGAGTGAATGAGTCTGATGAATGTATATATATANAATGACAATAAATTTTTAATTACCGCATTGATTTGACGACGCGTGCATACGTATATATACGAACCGCAGGAAAAAAAATTCTTTCGTTGTTCTGACTGTATTTTTCGTTAGCACTGAACTTTCGTTTCATTCATTGTACGTATCATACATTCCATGTACACTTTTTGTCAAACCTCACAACCTCGTACATACATATTTTTTTTTTATATTATAGTGCTCTACGTCCGGCTCCTTTAATAAGGGCACTACTATGGGCACTTAGCACTTGGAAAAGGGACAAGGAAAGGGATGGGAGGCCTCTCATTACAGGAGGTGGGTAGGGGGAAATTAGGTAATTATGCTGCGAGGAAGTCACCTAAGTTAAAGTACCCTTAATTCGGACACAGAATTTCAGGTAATCCACTATTTCTAAATTCACAAAGAAATTAGCTGTTTTGCGAAAAAGGCGGTTGACATATAGATAATACAGTAATTTTTCTGTCACTTAAAAAAAAAAGTTCTTTGTGACCATGTGATCATTGTTTAAAATAATTATAAAGATTCAGTCTCAAAACCCCTATATTCGGACAATGCATTTCTAAATAGTCCGAATATAGGTCCCGTTACGATGTAGGGACCATAATCCGGACAGTCGTGAGCATTGAGAAAATGAGGTTATGGCAGATATTTATATACAGTTATATTTTACTTTAATGGCTTTAATTTGTTAAACAAATGCAAAAAACAAATTATTATTGTATTTTACTACATAGTATAACCATTTCTTTGCACTTGTAAGCAAGTGAATTGCTGGATTATGTGTGTCCGAATATGGGGTACAGTTTGAACCGTAGTATCTGATTTCCGGACAGCAGCCAAACACAAAAAACCTCGATTTGCAAGAAAAAACATTTCTTTTAATGAATTATCAAACTAATTCGACGTATGTTGTAACTATCCTAAATCAATTCGATACTGTAGATTACAAATAAATTTTTTCATTCAGAAATTGTAAAAAAATTATGTAATTATCGCTGCTGTTCGGATATAGGTCCGAACAACACTTTTGTCCGAATACAGGGTACTTTACCTTAAGCCCTCCTCGAGGAGCATTGCGTGGTGAAAAAGGACATGTGAAAATTCACAGAGGTACTTGCCTGAAAAAGTCTCACTGGCCAGGAATCGAACGGTCTCCCACGCGTGCCAATCCACGACCTAGGCGACTGAGCTACTACGCGCTCTTGTATATATATATTTTTTTATTGTTTATCATCACCCATAGGCTAAGATATGGCTTTTTTTACACAATAATAGTGTTTTTCAGCCATCGGTGCACCTGAGTTATGACCAGATGTTTATACGCATATAAACATCTAGACCAATTAATAGTCAGTACAATGATCACGATGTTGAAGCGAAAGAGAAACAATTAATCGAACCTCGAGAATCAAAAGCACAGGCGAAACGGCAAGACCTGAATGGTCACCAGATGGTCACCCATCCAAGTACTAACCGCGCCAAATGCAGCTTCACCTCGGAGATCGACAGAACTGTAACTATACCGTTGCGCCACCGCGACCACTTTGTATATATATATATATATATATATATATACACACGCAAGCGCGCACTGGCTCAGTCGGCTACCGTGGTTCGATTCCCGGCTTGTGCTACTTTTTCGGGCAAGAACCTCTGTGATTTTTCACATGTACTTTTTCACCACGCAATGCTCCTCGAGGAGGGTTTAGGCGACCTCTTCGCAGCATAATTGCCTAATTTCTCCTACCCCCCTCCCAGTACTGGGTGGCCTCTCATCCCTCTTTCCTTCCTCCTCCCAAGTGCTAAGTGCCCATAGTAGAGTTCTTATCAAAAGAGCCGGACGTAGAGCACTTTAATAAAAAAAAACATATATACGGGTAATTCTGTCGTAACTTGCTCGAATCGACTTAAAAAATTGTTCAAAAAGAAGTTAGTTAAAAAAAACTTTTTCATGGTATTTCTACTGTACACAACATCAGTAACAAATATCTGAAGGGATGCAACTACAAGATTAACTAGTCAAAAATTATACAAAATTTTATAAAAGTCAGATTTCATCGATTTTTTAATAATCGTATCTCTTTCTAACACGTGTAGCTAAGCTCCTTTAACAGTTAGAGTGTTCTTACTGGACGTAAATAAAAGCTAGAGTCAAGACCTAGGGGTAAGTGTACCTATCTCCGTGGCACGTACTGAAAATTCCATCTTAAATGCACCATAAAAAATGGTATACTAAAATTTTTTGGAATATTTTTTTTTTTAAATCTTACATAATTTCTTACGGAATATTAAAAAAAATTTTATGAAGCTAAAACTGCAGTAGAATATTTTTAAAACGAATAAAAACGGTATGCTGGTATTACCGTGGTTGTGTACCTATTACCGTGTACGTATTACCGCGGATGTCCCAATCACCGTGTCCGTATAACCGTGGGTAAAGTAAGTTGTATTTGCGGAATATAAAAAAAAAATGCAAATTTCACCTACATTTTCTGCATGACTTATTTATTGATTTAAAAAAAAAATAACTTTTTTTTGTACTTGCTTATTCATTTAGTAGGAATCTTATAAATTTTTGAGCACTCAGCAATAGATTTTCCAGAATAGATACTTTTCAAAGCTAATTTTAATGTCTCTGGAGAGTAACACTTTTTGTTTTTCTTTATTTCGATCGATTTCTTGCCTTTCTTGCCTTTCTTGCCTTTTTTGCCTTTTTTAGTTTTCTTCATCTTGGTTACGTTAGATCGACGTGCTTACCTACTAATTGTTTACGTGTTAACTGTCGTGCGTTCTGTAAGTATAGGGTTATGTTTACGTACGATCACCGCGGAAATACGAACACAATCAGTTAATGAGCGCGCTGTACTGAATATTGTGGAAAATAATTATTTACTCAAAATATACACAAATATTTCTGTTTGAATTGCATCTATATTAACGTCATTTTAGATTATTTAAATTGAAAAATTATTTTATATGAAACATTGAAACATTTCTTATTTTGAGCAAGTAATCATCAGTTTTTAAAAATCCACGGTAATAGGGCAGAGCACGGAGATTGGTACACTTACCCCTATCGATTAAAAAAAAAAATTAGTTCAATTTTGTGCCTCCATGCAAAAGTTACAGCTGTTTAAATTAGAGCGTAAGTATCGCTAATAATGTGATTTTGGCTAAAATTCAGTATTTTTTATAAAATCACTATAACTTTTCACACTTAATGGAGTGCACCACTTGGCTACCAACGGTGGAAGCAGCACTGCCGTTTTTGCATTTATGTAGCGAAAAAAGTACAATTGGACGAAACCCCAAGACACGTGTCTCATCTTTCAGCCCAACAGTGATGAAAAAAAAGTTTGTCTGGGATTAGTTGCTCTAAAACGAAAAAAATGGCACTTTGAGGTGAGGTAGGGTCGGAATGGAAAAGTTCGGAATGGAACTTTCAATGTTTGTAGTGCTCGTACGACTCATAGAGTTTTAGAAAAAAAACCTGTGGCAGTCGTCGGAAATGATATCGACTTACTTGTTCTTCTGATCGCCTTGATACCTCCAAATGCCAACGCACACTTTTATAAAGTTGTCCCAGGCACGAAAAGTCGAGTATTCTATTCCGTAGCTGACAATAATCATTTGAAGCCTTTCGTATTGTTTGCTCATGCATTCAGCGGTTCCGATACCACAAGTGCTATTTTTAATTAGGGGAAAAAAAAATTATCTCTATTTTTGAAAAAAATAAAACGTTAATTAAAAGCACCGCTATTTTTTGTAAAAAGTTTGAAGATTTCGTTGAGGAACAAATGGAAACAGACTT